AAGAGTGTCGATTGAACGAGATCGATTGATCTCTTCGCGGATGCGACTGTGGAACTAGGAAAGTTCCGAAGATTGGAGGGAGAGAAGGCAACGGGATTAAATCAACAGATCGTGCTGGAGAAGCGATACGGAAAAGCTCGAAGTATCGGAAAAGGGATTAGATAAGATGGAGATATAATGTAGATTTTCTAGGAGCGCGAGACGGATATCAAAGAGAGATAGTACGTTGAGAGCGAACATCGACATCGACTTCAACTGCAGCGTGTGAGTCGCACGTTGAATGAAGAAGAGGCTGAAGATGCAGGGGAGCACGAAAAAGGAAAATGCGGGTTAACTTTGCGGATTTTCGTCTTACTGTGATTTCGTTTCCTGCGCGTCAGGCGCGCTTACCTACGATATAGACTCTATAGATTATAGCGATTTATTAGACCTCGAAAACGATTCGAAGGCAATGGGAGATGCACTACGCTTTCACTCACCTAACCGCGTTCAAGAAATTAATGAGATACTAAAAGAAGCGCAAACACACAACCAATATGGTCTAGGAAATCATTTTCGCTGTTTTAACATGATTTTGGCATCATTTTTCATCAGAATCGTGTCGCGCAAATAAAAATGATGTCAAAGCCAAATCGCCTGTTTAAAAAATATACCTCTCATTTTGAAGCGTTTGTTTTTAAAGTACTGGTTTGTAAATGTTGTCGTTGATAAGACGGATTAATAATCTTGTCATATGGACTTATTTATATATCTCTCTTCATATCTATTTTTCATACTTCACGTATTTTCTAATTTTTTAAATGAATTTTTTTACTTTTGTAGGCGTAATAAGTTGAATTACTTCGTTCACATATATCCCGAAGTATTTATTTTAATAAATAGGAACAAGATTGCGTTTGCTTCATTTTATGCAATTATAATAATGAACTAATGAATTTTTACGTATAAATCTCATTATTATGAGAGAAAATCGATTTCGTTGACTAAACGAAGATGGAAATTTTCGATGCCGTGTAGAAAAATGTTCTTCCCGATATCTTTTTAAAGGGAAGAAGGCGAAAATATAAGAGAGAAAATATTTATCACGCGCGAGAGGAAGATGTTTTAAGCGATGGAAAAAGAGGCTGTTGCGATTACATAAGTATCGTTCGTTGTTGTTAGATGGAGATGTAAAATACGATTCAGAGTAATATATTATTAGCGATATAGATCACATCACGATCATCACGATATTATTAAATGTTACAATCGACCGTCATTCGCGATCGGCGAGATGCAGACCGAGATGTCGGTGGCTTTATCGAGAGGGTGGTGTATTGTTGGAGATTTGGAGAAATTTTATAGAATGAATTATAAATGATAGGCACATGAAAAGCACACACACACACACTGCACGCACATACACACACACATATACACATACGCGTGTACGTGCGTTTCCGCGGCAATGTGGAAGGAAAGAAAGTCTCGAATACTCGTAATTCTTGCGATAAAAGATACATAATAGGCTGGCACCCGACGCAAGCTATTGTTGTATAAAGTAATTAATTATTGTAATTAAGATGACTGCCAAATCGCGTAATACTTGAGAATCCGCGCTCTTCGCGCGCCGCACTTAGCGCTAAACTCGTTTTCAACTTTTTGCCTATAATAAAAGGAAAAAAATCGCCTCGAATGTCATCGTGAACCGACAGTCGTCCGATCGCGTTTAATTAAATGCGGAAGCTCTGATATCGACGTCGCATAAACGTTTTAGGAAGAATCATTCCTACGATCGCGCGACACGAAAAAGTCCATAATAAACTGCATTTTAAACGAGCTGAGAACAATGTCACCCAGCGTGATCTCGATCGATCAATTCTGATCAATCGCCAGTACACCAACGATAACTGCCATTCAAATGGAACCACCAATGGAAATCAAAGGGAGTAATCTGCGAAATGCGGGGGAGTCTTTATTAATTTTTATGTTTTGTCTTGTACAGAGAGCCGGTCAAAAATCTACCATCATTTATTATATATAAACGAATAATAATATATTCTAAAAAATAAACTATACTTTATAAGAGATGAGATATAAATATTTTTAAGCACCTACGTAGTAACACACAAGCAGAAAGATATTTGGGTCTTTATTTTATTAGAAAATTAGTTATAATTTTAGTGAAACTGTTAATTTCGTCTTTTGAATTTTAACAATAAAAAAAGTTAATATTAATAAGTCCTTTGTTAAAAGAATTTGTTGTATCTTCAAAATATGTAATTTCAAACGCCTTATAATAAATTCTTCAAAAGTGAATTTCTGAGAAAATAAGTTTTACTTTAATTATTTGCATAATCAAAAACTTGTTATTGTCTAAACATTTTATCCAAGAAAATTAAGATCTAAATATCAGAAGGATATTTAAATCTTTTAATTTTTATTCCAACGGGATAATTCTTAATTATATATCAGTACTTTAGGAAGTGAATCTCTAGAGTCAAGATAAAAAAAATTCATGTGAATACCCGTATAAAATTATTAGATATTTTTTTTAATATTATAAATATGTGTGTAATTATAATACAAATACACATGTGCATTATAATTATATTATTCCATTTTGAATAATATTTTAAAATATCTAATAATGATTATATATATGCATATATTTTTTCTGAACTCTATAAATTCATTGCCTAAAATATTAATATAAACAATTAGGAAGCACTCTGTTTAATCTTGGATTTTTGACCGGCGTTACGGAGAAGTAATCTTATCAAGGATTTTCTCTCCCTTTTCGTAGCGTTTTTCCAAAACATACAGTACCAACTCCCCAAATAAAAGATTACTTTTATTGTCCGATTAGATACGTAAGTGCTCCCGCTCGAGCGTGTGTACGACGAATTTTGTCATTTTTGATAGTTTGCTATGTACATAAGAGTCTCTTCGATTATACCGCGCGATGACTATCGTGCGGCCTGTTAAACATTTGTGAGCCCGTTTTATGAGAAAGCCAACACTCGGCAAGACTGAAGCTGATGTTACACATGCTTATACACATACAAAGAGAAACACGTAAAGAGAAATATCCAGCAGAAATATACAAAATACACTCTGGCCGAGCGATATATCTGCGGCGTCTTGCGAAATAAGCGCCCAACGTACCCATGTGGAATCAACTTGAGTAATTTTATTATAAATATTTATGTATTTATATGTGTACACATATCCTCTCCAAATAAATGTAATATGTGTTTGAAAACTTGATCTTGATAATCGCAAAACACAATTCAACCACTTAAAAAAACATTGAGTTTGCAAAAGAAATTATAGCATTGAGTTATTAATTGATGACTTATTTTACATTACTGCATAATTATTATCATTGATTTAAAGATAAGAAACCCATACATTTAAAAGTTAATGCGATATGTAAAAATTAAAAAGTATAACTCGTTCAGAACTTACGTAAGTAGCTGGTAAGTTGTCAATATTGATAAATTAAACGACCCTTTATCACAAATCATAAAAAATTATTCATACTAGTATATTGCGGATTGTAAAAAGACGTAGAGCCTATTGCAAGTATCTTTATTACTTACTTTTTTTTATAATAATCACAACGCAATCCGCGTATTTATAAATCTATACAATGAGGATATTAGGAAAACGCAACAAGATACGCATAATGCGTTTCCTCAACTCGTGTGCTACAACAAATACTCTCACTCGATTCGTCTAAGCAAAAAAGCCATTAATTATCGCACTTGGCATGCAACCATGATAGACAGTATGTTTCTTCGTAAAATTAAATAATCAAAACAGTTCCATTGCGATATTCAATATTCAATATTCAAATACAATTGCTTTAATACAATTGTTAAAATTATTTGGCTTACCTCATCACAATCGGAATCAATGCTTTGATATTTCTATGCGGCCATATTAATATGTATTGTAATGTATATTGACTTAATATATATTATAATGCAAATTATAGAGTATATTACTATATTAAAATATAAATTATAATATAAATTAATATATATTATAATATATATTAATATGATACACGTGGAATGCAAAAATTGTTACTACTATTGATCCCTTTATCTCATAGAAATGTGATGAAATCGTTACTCTAAATTCATATATTTAGTCCCCTATTATTTAATCGTGAAGCTAAATTTTAGAGAGAAATATCGCATTTAATGATTTTTCGATTAGCATTCTCAAGGATCCAAAAAGTTTTACGTTGTGTTTAGGAAGAAAGTATTCTGTATAGTAAATTAAGGATATATTTTCTAGGGAGAAAATACTTTGGAATTCTCTCATCTAGATTTCGTAATTTCTGACATTAGATGCTTTCGCAAGCTTCGATTCTTTATTCGACGTCGTTAACTTGCAATATTCTGTTTATTTGGCTACAATTGGCATTAGCCTAATAACATAATTATAAATTATATACAAATAATATTACATAAATTCGTCCAACAGATTGTGCATACATAACCGGTACGGTTACTCAACAAATGTTCCACGCTAAGTTATGTTTCTGTTCATATTACAGTAACAGTTCAAATATTATAGTAACAAGGAAGGTAATACTTAGCATGGATGGAAAAATACAAATAGCAATCTTTCTTTTAGATCTTTATATGAAGAATATATTTTCATGTAAAAGTACTCATTCAAGTTATGCGTGATATTTACTGTTCGTTACTTTCCTTATTTCTTGCACAAGTATGACTAGCTCTCTACAGCTGTCTCCAGATTGTTATGGCCGCTTGCATTGTTCTAACATATGGTACCGTTCCAAACTTACGATAATTTAATTCCATTGAAACGAGATAATAATTATTTTAATCAGTTATTATTATATAAATTATATGTATAAGATTCAGCACCTTCTTTTGTTCTCGGAAGTCTTGTTTAAAAAATATTCTTACAAACGTACCTTAAGGCATCATTGCAAAAATAAAAAATCTAAGCAACGCTATTCTTATATTACAATATAGCTAAATTAAACCTGGATTTGAAATGCTTGTAATAATGAATAATTACAAGTCAAAGCTCATACAAATAGAGATGAGCTTTTGCTCCGACAGAGGTAAAGTATTTATATAAAAGACGAACAAACAGTGACATTTGTTCCAGAGAAGAGAATTTAACTGACCATTGCTCTGAGCATCTAATATGGAAATGGGAAATAATCTTTTATCATACATCATGTTTTAGAAATGGTTTTAACTAGTAATTTGATTCGGTTAGAAATTCTTAGGAATTATTTTTCAATCATTCCGTGTCAGCAACTTCTCTCCTAAGGCATGCACGATCCTCAAACGATTTGTAATCCATGACGATACTGATTGCTATTCCAACGCGCACAATCACAGATTTTTGACGTAGCGAAGACATTCTGCGACACCGTCGTATTCCCTGTCTCCCAGCTCTGACAGAGTCTAGACACGCTTCCGTTACATTCGTAAGAACACTCCGCAATGCGCGTCATGCTTTTCGTAGATCACATGGGAGCATAATCGAGTTGGACCGTGAGATGTCTAACGCCTGCCGCCTGGAAAATCTTTTGCGTTGTCATCACGACAGATTTGGGATCTACTTCTCTCGCCACCTCCAGTTTCAAACATCCGACGTACACATCCGAGCACAGAGTCCAAAAATGCGGTTCCTGCACACTGTAAACGCCAGGTATCTGCGTTACCTTGTTGTAGCACTGCGACAGAACATGATCCAGAGCTACCGGCTGTCTTTGCATAAGTATCTCCCACGATTCTTTCATCAATGAGATTACACTTAAAACTATCAATACTGCTATGAGCATAGAGCATATCGGATCGGCGATCATCCAGCCAAACATTTGCATCAGTACTGCCGATATGATAACTCCCACGGAGCCGAGAGTATCTGCAAGTATGTGCAAGAATACGCCCTTCATGATTTGCGAGTTTGTACCACTGAAGGACATTTCCATCTCAACATGATGGTCATAGTTATGATTCAAGAGAGAATATTCATGATTCTGAGAGTGAGAGTGACCGTGGTGTCCCCTCCCGCCATGACTATGACCATGGCTATGGCTATGACTATGTCCATGTCCATGTCCATGTTTAAATGCACATATCCCTACTAAATTCACTATCAATCCCAACACAGAGACGACGAAGAGCCTCTCGTGTTTAATCTCCGGTGGCTCGATGGCTCGTTCCACTGCCTCCGACATGATAAATAAGGCTATAAACAATAGGAGTAGTCCGTTCACGAAGCCACCTAACACTTCGGCTCTAACGTATCCATATGAATATCTGTCGTTTGCCCTCCACTTGGTGATGACGGATGCCGCTAAACCAAATAGCAGGCCAGTGCAGTCAAAGAACATGTGAAAACTGTCGGAGATGAGACCGAGACTGTTGGTCCATATTCCATATAGCAGCTCGACGAAGGCAAAGGACAGGTTGAGAATCAGGAACAAAAACAAGTTGCGGGTGTTCGGGTCGGAGAAGATAAGACGTTTCCAACTAAGCAGCTTCTCCTTGATCCTACTTCGGAAGTTGGAACGTGAGTCGCGTGGACTGTGAGAAAGGGGCAGCATCTTGGAATCACACTGATCCTACAGGCGTAAATCTGTCCTAAGGAGAAAATTTAGTGTCATGACAAGATGGATCAAAAAGTGAATAAAAGTAAACATCAGTATCAAAGTAAAATAAAGGCAACATTTCGGTATTAAAATAAAACATTAAAGCAACTAAAGTTTCTACATTAAAATAAAACAAAGATACTGAAGTAAAGCTTTGATATTAAAATAAAACAAAAATATCAAAGTAAAGCTTCAGTATTAAAAAATAAAACAAAGACACTAAAGTAAAGCTTCTGTATTAAAAAAATAAAACAAAGCTAGGACACTAAGATAAAGGTTCAGTATATTAAAAAATATAACAAAGATACTAGGGCAAGCTTTTGATAATAATACAAAAGCACCAAAATAAAGCTTCGCTAAAGCAAAGACATTCCGAATACGGTCGTGCCTTTCTTAGAAATTACATTGATATTTTTCACAATCTAAACAATAAAATGATCGTCTATATTTTCGTAAATGTGTATAGCTATATATGTACATATGTTGCCATAAGACACGCTGCTCTTGAGATAATACAAATCCAGAAATCACGTAAATTCTTAAATTAAAAGCAGACGCACATCTGTCTCAATCTGTCTGAACAAAGTAGTCAAAGGCTCTCGGAGTCTCTTCTGCAACACCAGGCACGAAGAGACAAAGCGTAGCGATTAATCAGACCAGTCGACATACGGTATTCCCAGCTGTTTGACACGCGTCAAGTTCCTAATTGGAGCAACACGTACAAACATGTGCGTGCATACATACGTATATTCACGCACGGCCACGTCCAACGTTCAGGATACTCTAACCTAACCTAACCTAATCCGCGCCCCGTGCGAGATTCACCTGTCGCGCTGCCAAGCCCGTCCCGTCGATGTCAATCCGATGTCCCGTACTGCATGCTGGCTGTCAGAGGTGCGGAGAACTGGATTGCGCGCGGCAGGAAGGTGCACTGTGGAGGAGTGTGGCCATGCCGCGTGGTCCCGGTCGATCGGTCGGTGAACGGGCAGAACAGGGCAGAACGGGAGGAACGAGAGCCGGCCGCGTCGCAATCAGGAACGAACGCGCGAAATTCAATTCGACGATGACAGTCGACGTTTCCCCTCGTGATTGTCAATACCGACGTCGACGACTCGCTTGACTCGCTTCCCCGCAATAAGGCCAATAAGTCCACGTCGCCGTGACTTCGATCAACGTAGTTGTCAGTAGTTGCTGGATCTGGGCCGGGAGGATAAATTGGCATAGATAGCGCGGCGATCGCTGTCGTCAGCGGAAGTGACGTTGCACGCCATGGCGAACAGTCTTCTTCCCTTTTCTTTTTCACGCGACAGCCACCATGGTAAGTTCACGTGTTAACTGTGCGATATTTTTGATGCGATCCCGTAAAAGTTCCATAGACATTACGTAGAGTATGAGAGTCTCGTGAAAAATGGTAAATTTTTATTAGATTGCGAGTTACGCGCCGGGTGCACCTTGTTTATATACGAAGAGCATTTCTTGTCATTCGATCCTCCACGTTGTTGTAGCAAATTTAATTTCCTTGCTTCGTTTTCTTGCTTTAGTTTGATAATGGTATAATATTTAATGCTAAAAACAAGATAATGGTTGTATTCAAAGAATATATTGAAATAACAGCTAGAGATTATCACATCAATAACATAACCTGTCTTTTTTTTCCTTCATACTTGAAATAAAGTTTGCCTGTCTGATATTTCTATAAACTTCAAACGATTTCTTTTTGCAAATTTCAATGCAAACGTGTCGTTCTCTTTCTTCAATCTCTCTTTGGGTTTTAAATATCACATTCATAGGCTACATTCAGAAATCTGTTCTCAGCTGAAAGTTTTATATATATTTTCTCTTTTCAATATGAAAAGAAATGTAAGTCGTGCAAGAAGTTCAGCTAAAGAGGACAAGCTCTCAGATAGAGTTATTATTATAGCACTGTTACTAGGGCTGGGACATATGAAGTACTGAAGTACTTTTATTTGAGAAACATGTAACATAATTATATTTTGTATTTCAAATACTAAGATTGACAATCAATCTTATTATTTGAATTATTAAATACAAAATACTTTCAATCTTTTTCGATTTGAGATACAAAGAAAGCACTAAAGAAGTAACAAGTTCAAACAATATATAAAATAATTAGTACCACTCCAAAATATCGAAGAGATCTTTTTGTTTTGTGCACATGTATAGATCTATATTTTTGTAAAATTTATGATGACCAGTTATTTTCTAGATAACTACTATGACAGTAAAATACTGATTTAATGAGTCTGACCATAACTCTTGGATACAATCAAATTTTATCTTTCGAACGTGTCTTATGTTTGATCTTTTATTATAGCCGCCTAAAAAGGATACGAAGAGTTCCTCTAAACAGCCTCAGAAGACCCAGAAGAAGAAGGAGGGTGGATCTGGTGGAAAGGCCAAAAAGAAGGTTTGTATATCTCGATATAACGTTCATGATGGATAATTTCAAGCAGTTAATCCCATTTGATATGCATTTTTCAACTTGAATAGTTATGGAAGTAAAAACTGATTTAATGAGTCTAATGAAATTTGATTAGATTTTTTCTTATTATTTTTAATGTGATGTTAAAATTGTTTTGATATAATGTTCTCTTTCTTCGTATTCTTGCAGAAGTGGTCCAAAGGAAAAGTACGTGATAAGTTAAACAATCAAGTACTCTTCGACAAACTCACATATGAGAAGTTGTTGAGAGAAGTACCGCAATACAAATTGATTACTCCATCGATTGTTAGCGAAAGGTTAAAAATTAGGGGATCTCTCGCAAGACGGGCACTGATAGAACTCCAGCAGAAAGGCTTCATCAAGCAAGTCGTGCAGCATCATGCACAACTTATCTATACACGTACTACTAAGGGAGATGACCCAGCAGTATAATATGTAAACATCAATTTAATAAAAAAAAATTTTAAGCCAAGTTATAATTCTCTATTTTTCTAATCATGTTTACAATCTATTAACTAAATAGTGTTTTCATAATTGCAAATATTATTTGATGATAAAATTTAATTTATTTCAGTATTAAAAATATTTTTTGTGTATAGTAATCCACATATTGGATAGTTCAAAAATTAGTTAAAAAATCAATGAAAACCCATAATAAAAGAATTACTTCATTCTTGAATAATTTCTAAATAAAATACTTTTACATACACCACCACCATTTTTCTAATAGTAGTCGCGTTGAAAGTGAAAAATCAAATATTTTGCACAATATATCGTAATAAATTAATTTGTTGGAATGTCTTTATTTACATTTAACATGGATTGACAAATTGTACTAAAATAGGCGATATTTTTTTTATATTACTGTACATTAGTAAGTGCACTATAATTCCATGTACATATTTCCTTGTATCACACCATCCACCACACATCTCCAATAAAAATGGATAAAAGACTAATAATTACATTTTCATGAATAATCTTCGGCTTTTTACCAATTATTTTGTGAATATCAATTTATGAAACTATTGAACCTGTAAAACAATTATTTTGACATATATTCCAAGAAAAAGAAAGTGACATGTCTTATTTTTGATGGCATAATTCAAGATGGCTGTAAGAAGGAAATATATAGTTCTATAAGCAAGTTAAGAAGCAGGATTTCATTTTTCAATCGTTATAAAAAATGTTACAAAAAGGCAGAAAAGTTATATCTAAATAAATTTATCATTTTATTACATTTTAGTATAACAAAAAATAAGTTTTGTCTTATATCAAAGAACAGTATTCATATTAATACATAGAATTTGGCAATTATATTTATAGATAACTGGTAGGAAAAATTAGCAGAAAATAGGAAATAAAACTTAATTAAAAAATGAATTCTATAACTTGTTCAATTTATTCTAAAACCATACAAAACTTTCAACAAATCTACTATTTTCTACTTTATTTATACTATTCATATTTTTTATCATACAGACCGTTCTCCATATTAACTCTCTGAGGTATTTTTATTGAAACGTCTTAAATCTCTGATTTAAAACTTGATATTTTAGGATACGTATTTGCATCAGGGATAACATTTTATTGTATCCACTCGATGTGTACCCGTGTTATTTGAGTTCTATAATTCCTTATAGAAGGATAATTATTATTAGTGCTTTCCAACAAGCAACACAGTGTGACAGTGATCATGTCATCTTCATTTAACATTGACAAATAACAAGGATATAATGATTCACTGTGTTACACTGTATCATGTGTCTCTTGCTGGAAACCACCCTATTTCTATTCTCAATATCACAGTATCCTATTGTCAAACATAGTTATCTAAGTCAGGTAATCGATTTGTGTGCGTATGCCATTGATCATTAGCATTGTGCTTTTGATTTTTAAATAATTCCGGTTTAGAGTCAATTAGATTTTGTATCTTACACAAATCTATACTCACTTTGATACAAAATTCATTATTTTTTATCCTAGTCTCACCATTACGACGTACAGTATTTTCTTGAAACGCTATGCATTGAATGAACTTTTTAGAATTGCACGCATCGATCTGCTTACTTAGGATACTATGTTCATTAAACCTTGTAATATTCGAGACACGCGTGGCGTTCCGGTTATTAATCTTCGAACTGACGTTCATACTATTTAAATTTTTTAAACCGTTCTGTGATGTCGGAGAATCGTCTGTATGATCATTACCAATTTTATCATCATCAGTATGTTGACTCAGAACAGTGATATCATTTTGCGATATTTTCTCAATGTTTTTATTCATATTAACATTTAAATCAAAATCAACACTGTGTACTATTCTATTAGTCTCCTTGAAAAATAGTTGAGTCCTGGACCTTTCTTCTGTATGTACAGAAATTACACTGTGCATAGACGCTTGTTTATGTTGCTGTACAGTTTCTAAACTAACTCGTGAACCTTGGTTCGAAATAAGCGGTACAATAGTATCTACATTCGTATTGCAAACTGTTCGATTTAATACACTTACATTACTATCACTTGGAACGAGACACGTCTCACTGTCATTCTCATCCTTAAAACAGTTATTCATTACACTGCCAACATTATTTGTCAAGTTTATATTGTCTAATGTATCGTTATGCGGGAGTACTCTAGATCTGATCGGATTTAAATTCTCTTTAGCATCATCCCGACCATGCGCTATGTACATTTTGTCATTAATTGAAAAATTTTCATTTTTCAAACAACAAAAAAGCTTGTCGGAACATTGTCTCTCAGTTGTAATATTGTCGGTATAATCCGAACTGCACGAAGCTTCACGAGATGCAATGGTAGACATTTCTTTTGCCTCCCGTGATGCAGCTACACCTGCCAATCTCTTACTTTCCTTGAGGTTCTTCATCGAAATATTTACGGAGAACGTATCATATAAAATCATCTAAGCAAAAAAATATAATTAAATTAATGCATGACAAAAATTGGTAAATAAAGCCTAAGACAATTTCAAATCATAGACAAGAAACAAGGAACAGATTTAAAAAACCGTGTATATAGTTCTTGATAAGTTGAATCTATTATTCTGTGTTCTTACTGCCTGAACTTCTCAATTGTATCTCAAGTTTTATTGTTTGTTGTTATCAATAAAATCTATTAAAACATACTTCAATATTGTTCGATGTACAGACTCGAAACTTCAGGTCCTGTAGATCCACGTAATGCGGTATCAGTCCAGGTCGATGACATGTGGTATGGTTGTTAGTGATTTGTGGGAAGACACTGCAGGTTGCGATAGATCTTTGACGGGCAATGGTTTGTTTGTCGAAGACACTATATGGTAATAAATTAATATTAATGCACGAAAGATTTCATCATTCATAGATAGAATTCAATTTTCATTCTTTTTCATCGTGTTGATTTGTCAATCATTTACACTCACAAGTAAACCTACCTTTGTGTGACTCGCCGATTTCATTGAAACTTTGCACACTTGTAGAGTAGGCAAAAATAATAGATACGTATTTTTTTTTATCGGCAATGGTCAACATTAAAGGGGTGAAATCGACCCCTAAAGTTGAGGGTATTAGGGCATCGTCATGATGTTTCACATAAAAGTAATGTACCGATCAACACGAAACTATTACAAAATGTTTTTTATGTTAGATAGTAAAGTTTACATGTCCGACTTTCCATGTACCCTTGTTGCGGGAGGTAAACCACCCTTCTCGTAAGGAATAATTGTTATGACGAATGGATGACGAAAGTCTATTAACATTTTTATTTATAGTCTGATCTACCTATCTAATCTTATTTTATTAAAAAATAAAAAACACCAAAAAATAATAGTGTTCTGCTTTAGTTTTTAGATAGATAGATCAGACTATAGATAAAAATGTCAATAGACTTTCGTCACCCATTCGTCATAACAATTATTCCTTACGAGAAGGGTGGTTTATCTCCCGCAACAAGGGTGCATGGAAAGTCGGACATGTAAACTTTACTATCTAACATAAAAAACATTTTGTAATAGTTTCGTGTTGATCGGTACATTACTTTTATGTGAAACATCATGACGATGCCCTAATACCCTCAACTTTAGGGGTCGATTTCACCCCTTTAATGTTGACCATTGCCGATAAAAAAAAATACGTATCTATTATTTTTGCCTACTCTACAAGTGTGCAAAGTTTCAATGAAATCGGCGAGTCACACAAAGGTAGGTTTACTTGTCAGAGAAAAATTTCTTCGATTTGTGAATGTCATTTCTTGAAATCAAGTAAATTATAAAGTTAATATAAATTGAAAAAAATCGTTTCTTTCGTTGATTTTTTAAGTTGAAATAAAAATATCTCTGAGGGGAAAATAAACTTAAAGGTTTTTTTACTTCAACTTAAAAAATCAACGAAAGAAACGATTTTTTCAATTTATATAACTTTTTTCTAGGTGTACAAACTTACAACAGGGATCGAAGTTGGTCGTTGAACACTTAAAAATGTACTCACCTGTGGGAATAATTTGGTGGGTCAGCTTTCTTACAGTTGATAGATTCAGTCTCGACAGGTCTGGTGCCTGCATCCCCGTCACACTGTTAGAATCGCAAGATATACACTGGAGAAGAGGTACGGGGAAACCGATTTACAACAACTCATACTCCCCGTACCGTGTTTCTTACCCAAATATATTTTTATTTTACTTAATTAAAAACGCGGTATCTTCACGAAGATTTATTGTATAAAAATATTTTAATGCTAATCGTACTAATAATGATATTTTAGTTCCGGAAGTTTATTTTATATACATTTTATGAAACATTTCTAGTTTTCGGCTGGATATTCAACATGATAATTGTTGAAATTCTTGAATTACTTACGTTCTTCTTATGTGTCGTCTTATTTGTGGAAATGTTCTCATTACTGGGTGTACTAGTAGGAACATCTTTCCTTGATGCAGCTTCTTGTTGATTTACTGTTACTATTTGTTTGTCGCTCAGAATAGGCGCAGTTATATTGGTCATTACTGGTTGATTTACAAGCAGAGGATTGCTAAGTACTGTTGAGTTACTAAGCACAGTGATATTATCTGTCACACGCGGTAGAATTACGCTATTCGATGGTATAGCGTACAAGTTTGTTTCATTTCTTCCATCATTCTGATTAATTGTCGTAAAATTCGGGTTAGGTATTTGTTGAATATAATAACTACTAATTGGCAACAAAACTGGATTATTCTTGGTGAAAGTTACAAATTCTGTCGTATTTGCTTGTGTGATACGATTTTCGTTCCTCTGGTTTAGATTAGCATGTACAGTGTTTCCTTCCAAATTTGATAAAATTTGATTCATATGTTGCACATCATTCCCCTTAATTTGTATATAATTGTGTTGTGAAGATAAATTATTTGCTGGATTATTACTTAACAGCGGAATGAACTTGTTTGCAGATGTTCTTTCATTTTGCTGCCTATCTGTATTATTTGTACTATTTTTTGCATCATTTTGAGTATTATCTGTCTCACTTCTATCAGGTATTGTAGCTCCGACTCGAGAACATGTTTCATGCAACCTTTCGTCGAAACTATTTCTTTTGATCTTCTTGCAGTTGTTAATGTTACTCGCTGAAAAATATAATATAACATTATCAATCATAGTACAATCATAATATATAAACTTCCTTTTCTTTCTCTCCATAAATTACCTTCGTGCATACTACGCTTCGACGAGACAGAGGTAACGAGTTGTTCCAATGTTTCATTTATAAAAAGAGGCGAGGTATTAGTAGTATTCGCATGTAATGTGATATTGTCACATATAACATCAGGTACACTTTCGAACACTTCAGGTGGCAGGGAAACAACATTAGTAATTTTGATATTCATAAATGACGTTCCGCTTGTTTCTTCCGTGTCCGTTTTCACATCGTTTGAATTAATTAGACCTAATGTAGATTCTTGTGACATAACTACATCGATTTGGTCCTTGGAGATGGTAGATTCGGTTTTCTTCGAAACTTCTCTTTCTGATGCAATAGGTTTTGATAAATCGATATAATCCTTTTCTGATAAATCAATTGTAGCTACAATTTGGCTCTTAGATGCCACTATTGCATTTAACTTCTTCGATGTTGATGTGCTAGGAAGACACAAACTGCCAAATTGTGTAGGCTGCTTCATGTGTACAGGTGAAAGATTCGTTTTTTGTGTTAATGTAATAAGCTGTAATAAAAGCAAATTAAATCAATATCATTAAGCAGTAAATTTACAATAATATATATAATTTTGTTTTAACGAAAATTCGATGCTTTTAATCATAAATTTATTAAAAGCATAGTTCAAATTTTTTAAATTTCCCTTTCAATGTATTCTAATTAAGTAATCATTTACTTCCACATCATCGTCATCACTTTCAATTATGATAACATCCGTCTTCTGAATCGGCTGAGATTTTTCATCATTTTTGCTGGGGAACCGTTTTTCTTTCTGGAAGCTATCTTCCTTACTTTCTCGCTGAAGAATATTTTCTTTACTTTCCATACTTTCTTTACTTATCGATGGCTTCTTCTTCGCATCATCATTTTTTGATAAGGATTCATTTTTTGATAATGGTTCATCTTTCGTACTAGTTTCAATAGCAGCTATATTCTTTTCAAGCACGGTACTTGTTAAGTCCAACCTGTTAAGTAACATAGTACATTACATCTAGGCAAAAATATCCTATAAAATTGAAATATTTTCTATCGTTATCATAATCTATTATCGTTATTATTAACCATTGGCCTAGCTTGATCATTTGCTGTTGTAATTTAAAAGAACGTGGACCAGGTCGCAAATTAATATTATCCAGAATAGACTCCAAGGAAGAAGTGGAAGATGAATCGGTCAAGGCGCACGGCATAGGGAAGTCAGTTCCTACAGAGATATCTGTATCACTATCCAAATCTGAGTCTGAATCTGAATCTGAGTCTGAATTCAAATCTGAATCAGAATCCCTATTTTGACTAGTACTAAAAGAAAGAAAAAAAGATATATAAATTTTAGACATGTTAAATGTGCAAGATGTATTTGTTCGATTATAACAGTCCAAGATAAACATTTTAGGAATTTTCTACCATTTGTAAGATAAAAAAATAGACACGATGCATACCTGCTTATTGCAGAACTGTTGCCTAGTTTTACACGATCTTTACCTTTATAAAAAAAAAAAAAATATATATATATATATATATGAGACAAATGTCATAATTACATGCATCTCTCTTTTACAACATGCTTACTTAATATGGATGTACATTCTTCGCATTCCCACACCGGATTAGCCCACTTCAGCTGCCCGCAAAACATATGGATACCTTGTGAACCGCAAGTACGACATAGGGCCAATTCCCATTTACTATATATTTCAAAAATATTTTATATTTCTTGTATAGCACACAGCTTTAATATCGTTATAAGCAACTATTACTTACGCGTTAGTACTTGTATACTTCCTTCCCTTTGGACAAAGACATTTCGGTGCATCGCACTGATCATGCCTATATAAAAGATCTTCAAATGCATTTGGTTCCAATTCCCACGAAGCATCTCTAATTATATAAAAAAATTCTTATATGCCGTTATGTATTTTATACGCTCTTTGTATATATAACGAATTAAAAAGTATATAGCACTAATAGTAAATATTAATCTAAAAATAAGTTTATGCATGTTTCTACTAATTTACACCAACAACTGAGTTTACAAAACTTAACGAGTTGTAAAGAAAGTACAAATAAATGACTGCTGAATTTTGTTTTGCCATACTTACTGACTTGGCACGAAAATACCGTATTCTAACATAGATTTTTGAAAATCTTTTTTATTGTTACATAAGGGACACTTGAAAAAATATCCTGCACTTAATGCAAGTTGCTGAAAAATGAGAGATCGTCTTGGATATATAAATCTGTATTCATATTAAAAAAATATTACGTATAAAGCCATATTAAGACTAACCTGAACACAAATGCGATGAAACCATGCATCTTTTTTACAGCAGGGAGCCCATAATGTTTTCACAAAGTCATTAGTATTAACTTTATCATAACAAATATAACACATTACATCTACCGCGGCAGCCTGCTTTAGAACCTGTTCATCGATCTTTTGTTTCGGCCTGTGGTTTATGCAATACGATCTGAAACATTCCAAATAACTTATTCGATGATCACTACAATCGTAATCGATCAGTCAATTTGGTATTTTTCCTTTACCTAAATTCACCGAAAAACTGATGCAGAGAACCAGCTTTCATGCCACAAGGAAAATGAAAGATCCGTTTGCATCTTACGTTACAACAACCTAAAGTAGCACCTTGCTTTCTGCAGTACGAGCATACCTAAAATCATTAAAATCTCATTCATTAGAACGTTTAAGTTTAACAAGCACAGATATAATAGTAAAATACTCAATTTGTAACAAAAATATACTTTTTATATGTTAAAGGAGTATGAAATATACTATTAACTTTATTTACTTACAAAATTGTAACTTGAACTTATAAGAAAAGATCCCCAACTCGAAAATTCAAAAAATTATGAAACTTTGGCAGAACTGATGCTTTCCATTTGGTGAAACAAGTCAACACAAGTATCGTTCTTAATCTTTGTTACTCATGGATTGCAAAGAAAAATAAAATGTTTGTGTCGACATGTGTCATTAAGGAGGTTGTAAGGCAAATGCAATATGTTAAGAACTACTTGAAAAAATTACAGACTATTCTAAATTTCATTTAATAATAATACAAAAAAATTAAAATGTGTCTCAATGTCAAATCGAGTCTAAACACTAGGTATAGTTGTGTGTCAAATTCTTTATTGTGTTAAAATATATGTTTCGATCCTTGTATCGGATCCTTATCAATATTTCTTAGTTACTACGTTACATCAATGTGCTCCCTAGAACACTACATTATCAAAAGTTATTTACCAGTGATGGTTTAATTATGAATGCAGTTATAAATTAAAATTGATATTCATATATTTTAACACAATAAAGAATTTGACACACAACTATACCTAGTGTTTAGACTCGATTTGGCATTGAGACACATTTTGATTTATTCATACGGGTCAATATAATCAAGGAATTTTCATATTAATACAAAAAAAATAGAAACAATTGACCATCTGGATCAAAAGTTATTTAAATAAGTAGTAATATTTTTTTAATTTGTACTCTAATATAAATATATGAAAATGTATTATAAAATAATGATAAAAATCTCAATTTTTTTATATAAATACTCTAGGAATTAAACAATATTTTTGTAAAGTTATCTTGAGATGCAGACATTAATTGTTCAGTAAATAAATAAAATTTGTTATTTGTTATAAACTAATGGTGAATCTCAATGAAACTTTGCATAAGGCATGTTTAGTGCTTAATATATTTATATTAAAACATTTAGATTTTTCTTATTATTTTAACAATTTTTGTTTATAACAATAAAACTAATAACAAATAAAATAAATAACCTATAAAAATGTGTTGCTCAATAAAACCAGAATGTTATGAACACAACTTTCAAATGTATGTAGTTTATTTAAAGCGAAAATATTAATATATGTGTTTTATGCCCTTACAACCTCCTTAAATGGAAAGCATCCATTATGATATTTTTAATATATGTACCAATCTCTTTCCCCTGCGAAGTTCCTTTTGTATATCTTCAGCAAGGAATCCAAGTATGCCTTCGTCATCATTTCCTTTCTGTTCCATGTTTGAGGACAAGAGCTGAAAGAAAATTTGTATGATTAATATCCATTTCCACCAATGTAGATTAATCTTGATTCAACTTAGAGCTTTTTTTACCAACTCCGATTAATGTTAATCGATGGTTGACTCAACTGCCACAATGTGAGAACTAAACAGTTTGTCTCAAAAAATACATTAAACTGCTGTTAGTACCTCTGCAAGTCGATCATTAATCAATTTAATTAGAAGTTGGTAAAAAAAACCCTTACGTTTAATCTTTCTAATTTTGAAAATTAGAAAATGATGAACAGTAAGTTGAAACGAGATTAAAGTTAATCTATATTGATGAAAATGGACATAAGTAGACAAAAAACAATAATTTTGAAAATATTCCTATCTCTCTAGTGTTTGTCTCGAAATCTGTTTTCTATAGCTGAACTAGTATACACTTTTGAAACAGATTTATGTTTAATATTTGGTGAAAATTCTACTACATTAAACAGACATCTTTTAACCTTACCGTACTAATATGGGTAACTAGTGACCGAGTGATTTCTGTTCGTACAAGTTTCTTTGAGTCTTTCGGTAATTCTAAATTATAATACATTTTATTATATATTTTCCAAAATAAAGAATCAATATTTATTCTAGAAAGTTGAAAGTATGTTGATGAATTTTTAAAGATTTTTTGAATTATTTTAAAGAGGTGAAAAAACGAAGAGATTCTAGTGACCCTTGATAGTATGGATGAGGCACCAAATTGTACATGGTACGTTAAGGATTAAACCTAGATATCTTTTGGACATGCTCATAAAAGTAAAGATCAGATAGACCAGCGTCTTGATATATTGAAGATTATTATCGCAACATCGAAAACCTACCAAACAATAATAGTGGGTGACAATTCCATTGTGCTCGTACATCTTTCCATATTCCAGCTCATTGTCCTCAGCCAAATTGCAGAAGGAACAGACCAGAGGATGAACCTTAGAAGAGGAGGGCCTGTTCCTCGAGGACATTGTATTTCAATGACAGAAGCAAAAGCTCGCGAACAGTCACAGCCGAACGATGAACGGTGACAACGCAATGGCAAGCTCGAGCATCTCACTGTCACAACAAAATCTGCTAACCGTGCTGTGACATGAACGCGACACAAATATGCCGCGAATGACGGTTTGGTATGCTTATCTAGCAGATCTAATGGAGATGGAGACTCCAGTGTTCACTTCGTAAACGCGTCATCGTATATGGCGTACGTACAACAATTATACTATGAAAGAATCACAAAAGTCGCAAGTCAGAACGTGATTTTTCTCCAGAATTGCTCAAAATTTTCAAAATCGTTGAGCTACTCACGTGGAGGGGGCAAACGAGAGCCACAAACAAAAGCGCCTTGAATCTGAACAGCGTTAATAGTGTTAATAACCGTTCCATTAAGTTCCAATGCGGCTGACAAGAACAGCGATCGACAGTAATCGAGGCACTTTAATTCTACGAACTGCTACTACTGACAGTACCAATCACTACGGTAATTTGATTAGTCTCTGTACTCTTATCAGGTTCGAGATTTAACAACGAGGAAAATCATCTTTTCCTCAGATTTTCGTCTCATTCACGTGGGGCATACGATCTTTTAAATATATATGCGCCTATGACGTGGATTAACTTGTATCAACTTACTCCATTAATTTGGAGGGAAAACGAAGCTTGACGAAACTGTTGATCATTCGTCACTGATTGGTTGCGATGAAGCAGTTGTGAAGAATACGCATTTCTCATTTGTTGTCTCGCGAATCAACAACCAATCGCATATCCGTTCTTTATATGAAAACAGCATTTTATAAATTTCGTTACAATACAATAGGCCTGTTCGTTTTGATTGAACTTTTGCATCAGTTCATCTTTCTTCTACTTTCTTCTTGAAGAGAAAAGGAAGAAAGATGAACTGGTGCAAAAGTTCAGCTTTGGGTATTAATTATGAAACTTGATCCCGGTTGACCACGGCTCGATTGGACACCACCAATCACAGCGACCGATGCTTAGGAGCTTTGTAGTTTCAAGCGCTGTGAGTGGCTCGTGTCCAATTGAGCCGTGTCCAACTGGGTGCCACCCCTTCATCCCTAGGATGGAAAGTGAAAAGTGAAAATTTTATCCATTGAAGTTAATGGAGAAATTTTTCACTTTTCACTTTTCATCCTAGGAAAAAAGTTTCATGATTGATACCAAGAAAAAGAACAGTGAGAGGTCTTATTTATTAACTCAACAGATAACTATAATATTGATTTATTTCGACTGCCAATATGTTTATCGATTGTCAGTTTTTATCTTTTTTCCTACCGTTGAAATATAAATATTAATTTCAAAATTAAATAATTTAATAATAATAATTGATTAAATTAATTAAATAATAATAGTTGACAAGTTAATTAATAAATTAATTAAATTTAATATTAATTTGAAGTTATGCTGCTTTTCAAGATTACGTTTACGTATTATTATTATTATATATTTATGTTAAATTTACACTTTTTTATGTATACAAGCAATGTAAAATATGTAAGTTATTATAAATTAGGGGACACAATACAGAAAGAAGTGATTTTTTTTATTTAGTATTGATATATAAAAATATATGAGCGAGATAATTGATATAGAAATAATGGGAATTTAATTAAAATTCATGTATTATTCAATTTAGAATATTTAATTGTAAAAATAATTCATCACTGAGGTCTGGTTCCACCAATGTAAGATTAACTCTAATCTCGATTCAATTTATTAACCTTTTTAAAATTTTTAATTCTAAGAATAAGCTAAACAATAAATTAAACCAAAATTAAAGTTACTCTTATATTGGTGGAAATGACTCTTACAGTATTTACAGTAATGATAACAGTACTATTTTTTACAAAAAATATTTGCAATTAATAGAGCACTGATTTTCTTTTAATTACGCGTGTATATCAGGTACAAGAATTTATTTCCTTTGTAATCAATACCATTCAGCAACTGCATTTAATTCCTTGATTCCATTGGAATTATTGCCATAAATAATACTATTCAGGTAGGAAACTTGCGCAAACTCTTTACGAGCTTGTGCCATTCGGTATAAAACAGGACAGTCCAAAGACACGCATTCTATGTTACCCAATTGTCCAATGCAGGAATGACAGATCTGAAAAAAGATCATTAAAATTAAATAATGATTATTAGTCGCAATATAGCTTAATATAAATATTCACGTCTAAGGAAAAATTTATGCTCGTTCGCATAAATCTCTTTTCTACGTTTATGCTTACAGCAGTAATTTGTTGATGATTCCTTTCCAACTGTTTTATCTTTTCGAGAAGTACGAGGACGGTCCGACTTGGCTGCAAAAGACAATCTGAACAAATCTCTTTATTAGTCTGTTCCCCACAGGTAATGCACGACGTGGAACTGAAGAACTGGCGAATAGTGGACTTTGGATTACCTCCTCCTAAGTGTGCGATATTATCGAAATTCGAACGATGGGAGATTTCTTTATACCTGTAAATGCGGTATCCATTATTTTCAATTACGATTCGATGAAACAGTAATTACGCGTGTTATAATTATGTTATTTAAAAACTCGACAGAGTATTCTTCAAGAGAGTATTCAATAGTTACACATTATAGTATTTTTTTTTTATAATAAGAGACGAACAAGGATTATTTGAAGTACACAAATATATCGTTTAAATATTCGTAATCTTCACAGTTTTCACATTTACCACGCATTAACGTCGATTCGGAATAAATTAAAGCAGCGATTGAGGGGCGGTATGATGACTTTCGTTATATAATACACAGAGTTCGGAATTAATGACGGATCGGCGACGACTTCCATTGGCGTGCGCACGCAGTGGATGAGCGCTTGATTTGGTGCACCTGCGACGATGACATAGCGAACGCGCTCGCTGGTGCGCGGCACAGCGCGAGGATCCTTCTTGATCAACCTGCGTGTCAGTTCCAACGCTGGCACGCAAGCGTTGGCTTTGTATCCGCGCATTCCACGAAATTCTTTCGCGAATGTAAGATCCAGGATGGATACGCTCCGCTGAAAGATCTTGTCGAATTGCCTAATTACATACTGCTTCACCAGGGAGACGTCCTTCGTCTCGAACAAAATTTTGAGAGATTTTTCAAGTATCTGCAATATGCGAATATTTTACTTTAAAGTTATAAGGATTTTCTTCTTAACGTGTTTATCGTTACTTCTTTTTTTACTTTAGAAACTGCGGGACATCCATCTCTGCGAACCGTTTCGATCCCTTTAGCCAGGAACTCGGGCTTCTCTTGATCGCGAGTTTCATACATATATCCGCAATATCGTTTTTTCGTCTAAAATTTTAAATTTAATAATATGATCATTGTGATGTTTGCTTTACATATAGTAATTATTAATCTTGTTACTTTTTAATATCTTACTTGTAAAATAGATGGATGGAGAACTTTCTCAAATTTAAGCTTCACGGGCGGAGGATTAATTGCGGTAACAGCATCTGCGATTTCCTCGCCGATAGTAAAGGCCTCTTCTCGAGATTTTCCAGGCAATAGTATAAATAAAGAATCTGTATCCCCATAAACTACTCGTGCGCCCCATCTTGGTGTGGTTTCCACCAATTTGATCGCACGTTCCAATGTCTCTCGCCCTTTGCTAACTACGCTATCACCTATCTATAAAAAAATGTCAAAATCATTTTCGCAGCATGTTAAAAAATTTTGTCAAATTATTCTATCTTTATATATCTCATTAAAACATTGTACCTCAATACACGGCATTCTACCGCTAAAATTGGCGGATGTATAGCCGTAAGTAACGTTTGCAATTAACTTGAGACCCAATTGCTGAGAATGAAGAACGCGCTGCAACGTACGATTTTCTGCCGGATGCAGCTTCATAGATTCCTTCACCATCAGACGCGTATTCAAAATTTCCGAAAGCATACGCGGTAGTATTCCTTGACGTACCTCTTTCTTTACAAAGGCTACACCGCAAGGCGAAAAGTTTATTTTGTCTTGCAACTTTAATGCCGTATTCTTCCTTACTCTTAACGTTGCTGCACCAAAATCGAACGGCCCGTATCTAATAGAGGAAAATATCAAATTAATAAGTTTAATCTGATTTTTCTGATATTATAGATATACTCACTGGCCTATGTGTTCTATTCTCCCTAAACAGGTAGAGAAACAATAGTTATAAGCAATGATCATACTCGGATATAAACTTTGGAAATCAAGCACGATCAATGGATCGGTATAAAATTTAGACTCGGGTTCCATGATCAATGGCAGACATTCCGGAGCTCGCATCTTGGCTCTCTGGTGCATGGATGGCGAGATTGGAATGTAATTCATGGGTTTCGCTAATCTGAGCATCATAGACTCCACGCGAAATTGCGAGCCTCGCGAGAAAACTTCATAAAATTGTATACCGAAAAGTCGGGCGAGTTCACATGTGCGACCTATAATGAAACTTCAGAGTAAAATAATGAATTTAAAAAGTTGGGAATAAATAATAATAAATATTATAAGAGAAAATTTAAGAGAATTTGAATTTTTAATTTTCACCTATAACATCCAAATGACCTAGAAGCTTAAGAGTACCAACAACTCTAACGATATAATGATGTATAACTCTGCTTTTTATTATCATGCTCTCCTGTTTCCACCAAGTGGACAACGTCTTGAAGGAAGGACACGGAACTCTTTTATGTAAAACGTGATGCATGACGTTCTCAAAAGTGTACGTCAATAATGCTGGAAGAAATTAAATTATTCTTATATCGTTTGAATAGTAAAAAATATAAAGTAATCTTAAAAGATATAGAAAATATCTCACCCGCTTCATGTCTCATAATCCTCCAGATATCAAGGAGATTGCGACCAGGTACTTTTACATCACCTATGTCGTCCTTTTCAACCACGTGAGCATCGGATTTGGAATATATTTGCATATGTGGAACCCTCGAGATTCTCAGTGAAAAGTTATTGAAACCAAGATGAAATGCTCGTTGAAAAACGTAGCCCCATGAAAGAGCCTCCACTTCCCAACCAAGTAGAATGTCTGGATTGTGCCGCTCAATCAATTTTACAAGGCTGTTGAACGCATCCTGTTCCGTTGGAACATATAGAATTGGACACCTCGCACTAGCAGAATGGATCTTATTGAGTCTTGCGCTTATAGAGTTAGAATTTACAATTATAGCGGCTAAAACAAAAAAAAAGGTATTATCTGGATAACTTTCGTTACACTTGAAGAAATATTAAGTTTTTCGATTTGCAAAGCGAAGTTTCGAGAGATATAAAATATTCTTCACATTAAATTATTAGTATTAATTACCATGTTCTATCTGTTCATCTGTCGTAGCATCTGTTGGAGCGTCGTTGTAAATTGCGTAAAATAATGCAGCAATAGAATCATACTGCGGATCAGGGAGAAGATCTTCTCGAGTAACAGCGTGCACTTCGAGAGACAATAACGTTAAATACTGATGCTGCAGAAAATTTAAAGAAACGTGAAATGAGCTCTAGACTTACTATATACAAATAAAATTAAAACACACTTACTACTGTTACTGCTCTAGCTTTTTGAAGATTTTCGTTCGAGACATTACT